TTTTTTCATTTGTTATCTGTTAGTGTAAATTATGATAATTTTTAGTTGAAATTGACAATGGTTAAGCATTCTAGTGTATCTGAAATCTTGGATAATTGTAAGGTTTTCTTCTATAATCTTCAATAAGCATTCCAGTGAATGTAAAATCTTCCATAATTGATTTTTTGAACTGAGTTGGTTTCATTAGGTACCAATGTGTTATCCAAAAATTTTGTCTTCTCATGTATGCGGCAATTACACATTTCAGAGGTCATTATTTGATATTTATGAGAAAAAAAAAAACATTGTGAAGTTTAATAAATAGGCACACTGATCACCTTCACCATCAAAATAAGGTATTCACACAGTGCTGAATAACTAATGTTACACATAAATTTAAGATTTTTTAATTCTTTCATTTATCATCTGTTAGTGTAAATTATGATATTTTTTTAGTTGAAATTGACATTGGTTAGGCATTCTAGTGTATCTGAAATCTTGGATAATTATTTGGTTTTCTTCTATAATCTTCAATAAGCATTCTAGTGAATGTAAAATCTTCTATAATTGATTTTTTGAACTGAGTTGGCTTCATTAGGTACCAATGTGTTATCCAAAAATTTTGTCTTCTCATGTATGCGACAATTACAAATTTCAGAGGTTATTATTGGATATTTATGAAAAAAAAAATTATGAAGTTTAATAAATAGGCACACTGATCACCTTCACCATCAAAATAAGGTATTCACACAGTACCTAATAACTAATGTCACACATAAATTTAAGATTTTTTAATTCTTTCATTTGTCATCTGTTAGTGTAAATTATGATATTTTTTAATTGAAATTGATATTGGTTAAGCATTCTAGTGTATCTGAAATCTTGGATAATTGTTTGGTTTTCTTCTATAATCTTCAATAAGCATTCTAGTGAATATAAAATCTTCCATAATTGATTTTTTGAACTGAGTTGGCTTCATTAGGTACCAATGTGTTGTCCAAAAAATTTGTCTTCTCATGTATGCGACAATTACACATTTCAGAGGTTATTATTTGATATTTATGAGAAAAAAAAATATCGTGAAGCTTAATAAATAGGCACACTGATCACCTTCACCATCAAAATAATGTATTCACATAGTGCTGAATAACTAATGTCACACATAAATTTAAGATTTTTTAATTCTTTCATTTGTCATCTGTTAATGTAAATTATGATATTTTTAGTTGAAATTGACATTGGTTAAGCATTCTAGTGTATCTGAAATCTTGGATAATTGTAGGGTTTTTTTTCTATAATTTTCAATAAGCATTCTAGTGAATGTAAAATCTTCCATAATTGATTTTTTGAACTGAGTTGCTTCATTAGGTACCAATGTGTTATCCAAAAATTTTGTCATCTCATGTATGCAACAATTACACATTTTACAAGTTATTATTTGATATTTATAAGAAAAAAAACATTGCAAAGTTTAATAAATTGGTACACTCATCACCTTCACCATCAAAATAAGGTATTCATATAGTGCTGGATAACTTATATCACACATTAATATAAGAATTTATGATTCTTTTATTTATCATCTGTTAGTGTAAATTATGATATTTTTATAGTTGAAATTGACATTAGTTAAACATTCTAGTGTATCTGAAATCTTGGGTAATTTTAAGGTTTTTTTTTACAATCTTCAATAAGCATTCTAGTGAATGTAAAATAATAAAAATTATTTTATGGTCCTGCACTCGGTTTTCTAAAATAGGATTACAATGTGATTATTGATCCTTAATGGATTGGGTTATACTTTTCAATTTCGTGGATTGCAATGATATTTGTTATTAAGAATTTTATGTTAAGTTTTTGACATAAAGGACCTAGGTATATAGAGTATGTCCTTGACATTAGGATTCATAGAGATCATGCTACTGGCATACTTGGATTTATTCTAAAGGCACTTATGTTTATGAAAAATTAAAGGGTGACCGAGCGTAATAAGCATATAGACATAAAGTACATTTTTAAGTGTAAGAAGGTTAAGTTTTTTAGGATGTATTTTTTAATGGTAAAATTTAACTTCAAATAATAACATAAATAATATCTTGAATTAAGTTAAATTCATGTGTGACATTAGTTATTCGGCACTATGTGAATACCTTCTTTTGACGGTGAACGTGGTGAGTGAGCAAATGGCAATTAATATCAAACTCTTCTTTTGACGGTGAAGGTAGTGAGTGAGCAAATGTATTAATATCAAATTCGGCGGGAGAACTTGTGCCACAACGCACCACCACTGGTTGGCATGTGTGCATAGATTACCGGAAACTAAACTCTGCAACTAAGATCATTTTCCGCTTCCATTCATTGATCAAATCCTAGAAAGGCTAGCCAGCCAAAGTTATTATTGTTTTCTTGATGGTTATTTCGGCTATAACCAAGTAGCTGTAGATCCTCAAGATCAAGGGAAGACCACCTTCACTTGTCCTTTTGGAACTTTTACTTATCATGCACTTTGGGTTATGCAATG